TTTACTCTAACACCTGCTACCTTAGTTGTTCTTCTTAGTAATAATAATATTCTTTATTTGGTCTATTCTTTTCTTCCCCATCGTGCTATCGATCTTTGACACACCTGTAGCTTTTATGCTGCGCTTTAGTGGGCACCCAAGTCTGAGATCCATATGTTATTATAAATACGGATTAACTCTCAATCTATAACTGGTTCACGTATTAATAGTACACAACTACAAAACAATTAACTATGAAGTTTCGTGAATAACTTAACACTATGGGCAGAAAGGGTCGTAGGCTGACACAAAGATGGTGCCACTAGTATATTAACATGATTTTTAGTTAGCCCTAATCGTCTTATTAGTTTGTGCAATAAAGTATTTTGAGTGAAGGAATCTTGGAACAAAGGTATATAGAAATCTGTCTGTGTCAGGTAACGCCCATACAGATAAAAAATTTTGTGTTGAGATAAATCCATTTAAATGTGATATAAAATCTTTTGTTCCCTGAATGAGATAGCTTATACCATCGTTGCTCTATTATGTTTCCAGTTATCCGTTCTTGTTCGGTTTTTTTATTAATCCATCGATGTGTGAACAAAAATATTAAAGATGTAAAATTTTTGCGAAGCCATTATTTTGGCGACGGTACATTTAAATCTTATCTATAATGAAATAAAATTTTAAAAAAGTTTGACCAATAAGTATTGCACATTTCAATAGCTTAAAGTCGGCAACGCATTCGCGAACCTATTCTGCGTGACCACATAAGCATACTAATGTATTACCCCAAGTTCTAGATAAAGCAAAATAATTTTTGAGATATTATAGTTTTCACGTTATTTGCTAGTTTTCCAAAGAAAATATTAGTTATAAATGCCGACTTAACATGAAAAACGTATGCTCCATTTCACGTTCATCTCACACAAGCAACTAGGTGCAATCATAACGGATTGAGACTCGATATTAAACAGGAAAACTGGCCAAGAGCGAATCGTGCTTTTCATTACGAGAAAACAGTTTAATAAAACGTTTTGCAAATATCATAAAAAATTTCGTTTTTGATTGCCACTTTATATTTTATACAATTCTCCTAAATATGGCAACGCTTGTTCAGTAGGTGAAAACTATGTTTTTTAAATACTTCGGAAGATTTGCCATAAAAAAAAAAAAAAAAAAAAAAAAAAAAAAAACCCAAGGGGGGGGAAAAAAAAAAAAAAAAAAAAAAAAAAAAAAAAAAAAGGGGGGGGGGGGAAAAAAAAAAAAAAAAAAAAAAAAAAAAAAAAAAAAAAAAAAAAAAAAAAAAAAAAAAGTCCCGGGGTTTTGTTCTTTTTAATTTTTGTCATTTAAACTACTATGTAAGTATATAGTTTTTACCGCATTAAATCCTGCGTCTATTAGATGCGAAGATAGTTATGTCCGATATTTATATAATTGTGCCTGTATATGGTTAACTCAAATGACGAGACTAGACCACGACGATTTATTTATTTCTTAGTCAAAAATACACCACCTAGTCAGTATGTATCGTATATACGTTTAAATGAATTAGTAGCGATATATGAATTTTATGCATCAAATATTAAAATGTCCAATCAGCGTTGGAAGAGTCAATTAAAGTATTGTAATTTTCATATTCATTTCGATATAAAACACATGACAGAATATTCGAGATTGAAGTGCATTGTTTTGGTACATTTGAAATTTCACAACTTTTTGGTAAATCGCGACGTAAGGTAAGGTAAGGTACGACGCGTATCGGATTCCTACTTGGGATGTCTGATAAGACACAAGACAACTGAAAAGAGTGTTATGGGGGGGCGAAACAGCCTCAGTCACAAATGTTTTTCAAATATGCAAACGTAGCATACAAACAACTGTTGACGACTCATTGGTCTAGTGGTTAGTACCCATGACTGCGAATCCAAGGGTCCCGGGTTCGATCCCCGGCTGAGACGAACATCGATGTGATGAGCATTTGGTGTTGTGCTTAGGTCTTGGGTGTTTAAATATATATTTATATGTCTATCTATCTATAATATGTATGTATATCCGTTGCCTAGTACCCATAACACAAGCTTCACCAGCTTAGTATGGGACTCGGTCAATTGGTGTGAATTGTCAAAAAAAAAAAAAAAAACTGAAGACAAGGAGCTTCGCACCCCACATGGCGCAGATCCTGGGGGCTTTTGGTCACACAGATTCAAACTGAAGACAATCCCCGCGTGCGTCTGTGAGGAAATAAACGACCAAACGGGGTCATTTACCTGTCCTGCTTAACTATCCGACATACGAACAGCCAGGTGCGATCTGGGGCTCGAGACTGGCATGAGGGTATCCCGGGAAGGGATATGCGACACGTTGCTCGAACACAGATCGCTGCTGTAAAAATTCGACCACAGAATTGTCAGCAAGGTGAATAGCACAAGAGGTCACGGCGGCCAGCGGGTTCCGACTCGCCCCTACATATAATGAGGATATTTCCGGAGTAGTCATCGCCCGGGCCCGGCGGGAGACGCCAAGCCCACCAGATCTTATTTAAGTAAATAAAGTCCCCACAGGAAAGGGCAGATTTGACAATCCTATCTGTTACTTTGAATGGTCCAGTGAATAGGCTGTCTCGCTCTTACAACTTGATTACTAACATCGAGGAAAATATTGCTGTGTTTCACAACAGTCTGCCACAGTCTCTTAATGAGGTTTAAGTCTTCATTTAGTTTAGGTTATTATTGTTGTTTTTATTTCATCTTTTTAGTTTTAATATTATATATTTTTTTTATTTTTTAGATAACTTATGTTCTAATATAATTGATGTGTATGTGTGTTAAATTTGTAATGTCATATTTTCTTGTATTTTTTTAGGCATACACATTGTATAAATAAATAAATCCCCTGCTGCTTAGCTTCTCGGCCACTGATCTGCCGGATCACGTGGTTGGTCCTATATAAAAAAAACTATAAAATACATACTCACTTCTATTAAACGTTATTTCTTCGTGTCAATAAAATACCTTAGCCTCATAATAAAAACAGTGAAGCTGTATTATATAAAAGTTAATACAATTGAATGTGAAGCGAGAAAGAAACATTAAGCCAAAACAAATAGACTTTCAAAGAAAAGTAATAATTGGAGATACCTTTTATTAGCTTCATCGGCTATAAACCGCGGAGATGAAATATCTAAGACTTTTATTGCTTCCATAATAGGATGAAAAATTCACGAAATGGAATTGCTCTAAGGGGCACGAGACAATTGAAAAATTGTAGCGGATTTGTCGTAACGAAACTCTTTGCGATTTCGTATCACATATTGCATCGTCCTGAGTTTTCAAGAAATGTCTTTACAGGTTCCACAAAGTGACTTAATGAGATCATGAGACGATTATACTGTCATTTGAAGGATAGAAAATATAATATCGTTGAGAAACTTGAAGACATTTTTATTATTCTAAATATGTGAATACTTCGCCAGAAAGACAATATAAAAGCAATGAGGCAACCCGTTACTATCTTTGAATACGTATATCATTGTATTACAAAGTATAAAAGTATTAAATACAATGCCTATTTTTATTACTAGTATATAGTTTTCTAAGTAGCCAATCACTGTTTTAATTAGATTAGAAAAGATGGCCTGTGAATGTCGAACTAGAGACGAAATACAAAAAGGTGCGTTGCGTAATGGTACAAGCGCGAGTAATATCATGACGCATCATGTTGCGTGTCCATGCGTATTGATTTATTTAAAAGGCCAACTATAGATGCTATGAACCAATCACAATCAAACGGAACGCGCCATCGTGTCGTCTTTTGTTTTTCTTCTCACTCTCCCCACCCATTTTAATCTGCTAATCTAATTCACAACCCTAATTAAAGACAGAGTAGTTAAAAAATAAATACTACTAATTAAAATGGAGAGAAGTTGATGTTTTCAGTATGCAAATATTAATTCACACATTGATTATATACTAAAAATAAACCATTAGACCCTTATAAGGTTTCAGGCAACTACTTTAAGGAAAAAAACAAAATTTCAAAAGCCTAAATAAACAATATTTTAAAGCGCATTAAAATTAAAATAAAGTTGCAGCACAAATATCTGACTTATAAATTTAAAGTCGATTAAAAAATGTCGAATTGGGGATTTTTGAAGTATTTTAATTAGTTTAATTATAGACCTATTATTACAATATAATTAAGATCCCGTTCCAAAGTTGAGACAAAATTACAAAGCAGCGTTTAAATCGAGAAAGCGATCCAATAAACAAGAACACCTATTAATTTCCCTCCCTCCAAGTAAAAATATTATTTCACCCCAAAATTGTTGAACTTAACGAATTCGCTTGTTCAACCTTAATAAAAAGCCGATTAGGTAACATTATTTTGGATATTTAAATTTCGAATTTACGAACCGGAAACGAGTGTATTAATTTAATAAACTTAGAAACTCTTCAAGCGTTACTTAATATCCTGGAAATTCGCGGCCAAAATTTAATCGGGGTAATCGCGAATCCAAATTATCTCGTAATTTTTTGGAATACCACGTCGCCTGCGTCCAAATACGTTTCGTTTATAATTCAGGATTTCAATTAAAGGTATAGTTCTTGTTGTGATACGCGCTTTTAGGTGTGTTAATTTTGTACCAATCATTTTAAAAAAAAAAATCGCATTGGCAACTCAGACTACATTTGACTAGGCTCTCACCTTAACGTTACTTTATTTATCATTCTCTTAATGAGTTTTAATTTAATATTTAGTTATTATTTGTTTGTTTTTGTATTTTATTTTGTGGTTGCTTGTTTAATTGTTTCCCTAACTAGTTTGCTTATGTTCTAATATAATTGATGTGTATGTGAGTAACATTTGTGATGTCATATTTTCTTGTAGTGTGCATACACGAGAAATATAATAAATGGACAACCAAAAATAATGTTACTAAGTTAAGCAGTTTTTAAAAAAATATCTCAAATGAAATCATTATTTTAATAAGTTGTCATTAAATGTCATTTTAACGTTTACTAAATCATCGTTTTCTGTAAATCCTTCTTCAACTGCTTTGCGGCTGTGTACAGATCGTACTTGATTTTGGGGTATCCCTGCAGCAGGTCTTGCCAATCTCTATGCCTAAGAAACACGAAGTCGACCACCTGTTAATATTATTCGTTAATTCGTCTGTTTCAAATTTGCCTTTATATAAATATGGACTAAATATACGTGTTTGGAAATCTGCTGAACTTTTTAAAACTAACTCAGTAATATTCTAATTTATCGGTATTCCACCCGTCGTTCCACAACTGAGCGTGTTTTGAGGCAGTTTTTGCCATGCACCACCACTATGTGGAACCACTTGCCCACTGAAGTATTTCCGACTTAGTGTCTTTCAAGAAAAGAGCGTACTAGTTCGTAAAAGGCTGGCAACGCACTTGCGAGCTCTCTGGCAATGTGTGTCGATGGGCAACGGTGTCAATTTGACGGTGAAAATTTCCTGCCCGTTTGCCCCTGTTGCATAAAAATAATGCAATTATAAATAACACACAGTTTTTCCATTTATCAAATATGACGCAAAAATAAAACAACAGTAACAATACAACAACTAACAACTAAGTGATTTGCATAACAATACACGAAATACATTATAAAAAAAAGACAATTGTTTTCCCTTTAAAAATTGTGGAAACAATTGAAAGCGTACCGTTCGCGATAAATAAGAAAACTGGTACGGCGTGTTAGGGAAAAGTCCGGGTATCAATCCAAAGTATCCATTCGTTGATAATAATGAAAGCATTTTCTTTTCACCACTGAAATGTACAAGAGGTCAAAGCAAGACTTATAGGATATTATATAATAGGAATAATAAGGCCGGCAATGCACTTGCAAGCCTTCTGGCTTTGTGAGTGTCCATGGGCGGCGGTATCACATAACATCAGGTGAGCCTCCTACCGTTTGCCTCCTATTACATAAAAAAAGGGAGAGCTACTGAGTTCAATCTATACGATATATCACAAAGGTAGATTGTTAATATTAACATATATGGAGGCTATTAAGCACCTGTTTAATTTTGCGGTCTATAACCAAACATAAAGTATAATCCGACCACACGTCATCTACACAAAGGTATTTACTGTTTGCTGAATTTTCTTTGGTTGTATTAGTTTGTTTGCCACTACGGTGTTGGGCTTATTCGCTACAACGAATAACTTAATAATATCCTTGACGTCGCCAATATTGTCCAATTCATAAAATGCAATAAGCGGTTGGGACATGGGACAGAACCCCAAGGTCCTTACTGAACTCACAACCTGGTGTCAAGAGAAAACCCGGTAGACCGAAACTGCGTTGATGGATGGAAATGTCAATGACCTCGAAACAATAGGTTTTCGAAGTTCGACGCAAGAAGCACGAAATAGATTGCGATGGCGAAATATACTTGAGGAGGCTAAGGCCTACAAGGGGCTGTGTAGCCATTGATGATGATGATAATGCGGGTTGTTCCCACGAGAATTTACATTCTCGTGCGTGCTCCTATTTCACCATGCCTACTGCTGATAGAGGACAAATCTTTGTTTAATTTGTTTTTTGTGTTGTAGAAGTGTTGCGCTTCCTCCGACTTAGACGGTCTTGAAGGTCTCAGTAGCTAAAATCGAGAAGTTGTGCAAAGAGATCGGAATAATTTTGTAAACGCGTTTATTAGCAAAAATTACACAAAGATTGCTTCGCAAAGGCGGTACCAGTGTAATGAAACTGGTTCTATAATCTTACCAAATTCTGAATAAAGGGACAACTTTGGAATTCAATTATATTAATGCTGAATCATTACCTCTTATCAGTGTACCATTTCTCAACCTCTCCCTCGTGGATAAAGTACATGCAGGCAAATATATCACCTTCCTTAACAATGAATTTTCCTTTAAAAAAGTAATAAAAGTTAGTTAATTTATTTTGTATTTCACTTGATTTCCTATACATTAAACGAAGGTATTAGATAATAAAAGCAACAAGAACCTTGGCCACAGATGACTATATCTGTTGCATTATCGACAAGTGGTGTACTGTGCACCAATGGACGCTTTTTCTATGTGCGCATTTAACATTCGCTCGAACGGTGAAGGAAAACATCGTGAGAAAACCGTCTTGCTTTAGAGCCAAAAAGTCGATGGCGTGTGTTAGGCACAGGAGGCTGATCACCTACTTGCATATGAAATTGTAGCCCCACTGGTTTTTTTAAATTTTTTATCAACGTAGTACTGAAATCATTAAATATTAACCAAAGAGGCTTAGGATAGGAAACAATTATGATACATTATACATAATACATAACAAAATCTTACCAGGAAATATAACCACTCTCTGTAGCTTTGTAACGAGTTGCCGTCGCAAATATTCAGGGAGGTCACGGAAAAGGGGCGGAGCTTCGAGGTGATGCATGTAGAGGGCGCTTAACAGGTCTTCTCGAAGGCACTGCGGCGCCTGATGCGCTAATTCCGGCAGCCAATTACCTTGTATTTAAATCAAATTGTATATTTTAATACTTTATTTTATGAGAGTCAAATATATTATAAAATGGCAAAAGAAACAGAAATATGGAGCAAGAAAACTGGTGCCCAAGGTATACGCAAAAGAAGAAGACAATTTAGAAGGTGGATAGACCAGATTAAGGACATCAGGTACTTGGAGGGAGTGACACAGTGCAGACAGGAATGACGGGATTTGGAGGAGGCCTTTGCCTAAAATGGGCACACAGATATCTAAAACTAACGAGATAATAGAAATATAAATTGGTTTAAGTATAAAGAATCTGAATTATTATTTTTATTAGTAGGTATATTATTATTTTAAAACGGACCTAAGTCAAAGCAATAAATGTTTAATTCCTACAAAGCATTTTGGACTATTAATAATATCTGTTTCTTGTGGTCAATCTTTTTGAAATATTTTTATTCACAAAAGCTTGAATTTTAAATTTACGTATACATTTCCTTGATGAAGGAGAAAAAACAGAATGCTTAATCTGGACTTCGAAGATTTTGGCCAAAAATATCTCAATGCCTAACTTCAAGCAAAGTGCACAATTGTGTGATTCAAATTAAATATAAATTGTTATTAGTAATTGTGTATTTAGCTCGCGATGTCTATAATAATATTAAATTTCCAAAGGTATATTCAATTTATAAGAAGGAATGTTATAGTCGAGACATCAAAAGCATTATTTTCCTTCCTTGTTTTGTTTATACATGATATTCATCCCTTTGTAGTTCGTTTTATAAGCATATAATAATAATAACAGTTTATGTAAATATGTACATTAAAATAACACAAAACAGGAGAAAAGAGACAAATAATGTACTTCTTTACAAAGGTAAAATTAAATAAATTTATCGATAGAATAATGTTGTTTATTAATCATATATTTACTCGGACAAGTCAAAACAGGGAGATCATTGCACAATCGAATGGCAGTATTGTTGAAGGAGGAATTGAAAAAGTTGTTCCTATGTGAAGGTAACTGGAGTGACTCCTTAGCAGAGGAACGTAGTTATGGATTGGGACCAAGAAAATTGAAGTTTTCCTTTAAATATATATATATATATATATTTGTTTTGGGGAAAAAGTATGAAATACAGGAGGGTAAGAACATACAGTCTTTATTCCAGTAATAACTATATTATATTTGTTAATATATTCAGTTTAAGAGATATATTTCATTTCAATAAAAATATTCAATATATATGTATCCAGTATTTGTATGTCATACGATTAAGTTTACAGCGGGTACTAAAAATTCGTACTAACCTTCTAAAAGCAGCGTTCATAACACAAATGATTGTATTCAGAATTTTAAGTAATTTTCACTGGAAATAGTTTTGATTAATACAATTAATAAATATTGTATGATTATACCTCTCTGTCTTTGCCATAACTGCTTGGTATACTTCTTTACGGAGTCGAGTAGTACTGGACATAATCCGCTATGTTCCAGATATAATATTAAACTTTGCACGTCATAGTCATAGCTGTACAGTTCACGTAATTTCGTAAACACAGCGCTTATGGCACAACTCAGTATCCACATCTCCATCGGGTGAATTATAAAGTATAAAAAGATTTTGTAATATGTTTCATTCAGTGTTAAAGGTACCACCTACAATCGAGATTATGTTAAGTCATATGATAGAGGCAGTGTTGGTTTTAGTACTTTTTCTTCATTGTATAGTTTAGAGAACATTCCTATTTATTCTATACTTCAATTTATAAGTCGTATGTTTATATATAATATTAGAGATAGATTGTGAAAAGCAGTGTTGGTTTTGTAGTACGTTTTCCTCTTTGTATTGTTCAGAGACGGCGCGCATTCCTATTTATTCTATACTTCAATTTATAAGTCGTATGTTTAAAAAATTAGAGATAGATTGTGAAAAGCAGTGTTGGTTTTGTAGTACGTTTTCCTCTTTGTATTGTTCAGAGACGGCGCGCATTCCTATTTATTCTATACTTCAATTTATAAGTCGTATGTTTATATATAATATTAGAGATAGATTTTGATAAGCAGTGTTGGTTTTCTAGTACTTTTTCCTCTTTGTATAGTTCAGAGAACGCGCCAAAATCAAAATTTCTAAACGATAAATTAAGGCAGTTTCTGCCACGCCCCACCACTGCCTGAAACCAGGTGCCCACTGATGTATTTTCAAACCAATTCGACTTAGGGTTCTTCTAGAAAAGAGCGGTGAGAGTGTCCATTTATATTTAAAAAAAGGGTGCGTGTACTTATGTACGCGTGTAAGAAGTTATACTTCTTTGGCTTTCTTTATTTTTTTATATAATTAATTAATAATTAATAAACATTTTAATAATATTTAATATTTAGTATATTATTCAATTATTAATTATTGTTATTATTTTATTTTATTATTCATTCAATTCAATAACTTGGTATGTTTCATAACCTTTTAACTAAGTAACAATAGGTCTTTGTGAAAAAGCATTGCTAGATTTCTTTGAAAAAATAATTAAAACCCCTTTATTTGTTTAAAAGGTAAATGTCATTATGGTCATTCAAAATTTTTGGCATAGCTGCTAACTTCACGCATATTCTATTTCTTTTTACTTGTAGATTGTCTTATTCCCATCTCGCTCGCGCACGCTATAATCACACTGACAACTTTGTGTCTCAGGTGCGCGCGCATCGACAAATTTCACTCTCATCAATTTTTCATAACGCGCCTAAAGAAGAATAACTTCAATAAAGCTAAATAATCTTGCCTATTCCATACTATATATAGTTGTTTCTTTCCTGATTTTCTGTTATGTGTTGGCTTGCCTATAAATAAATACTCACAAGATCGATTTCCGTATGTGAATAAATCACAAGAATATATGTTATAGCAACAATATAGTCATCCATCCAACTTTTGGGCACAATTAAACCAAATTTCAGTTTGCCATCGATAAGAAAGTTCTTCGTAAGACGAGGACAACCTAAATGATTTTCGTTAATTATTGAAATTGTATTTATCATTTTTGTTCTTTAAAGCTAAGCCCTGTCACATAAAATACCTACAGTGTTCATCGATACTCCGAGAAAGCCTTTTTGATGTGGTTTCTTAAAACAGTTTTACCAGGAACCAGCTGCCCACTGAAGCATTTCCGAAGAAATTACGGTCCATTTAGAAAAGTGTGAACTTATTCTTAAAAGGTCGCAACGCTCTTACGAGCCTTCTCGTAGTGTGTCTATGAGGGAGGTGTCATGGGTGTCACCTGATGTTAAGTTATCACTAGCGTCCTACCCGTTTGCAGGGGGCAAACGGGTTATATAAAAGGTGTTATAAAAAAATGATGACCTCTTTGAACACCTTTCCGGGTTTCAGGTTTTGTCAAAATGATGAGTTTTACAACATTTTAATTAGTTAGCACATGTATTCTATTAAAATTATAGTCTAGCTTTAACGGGCTAAAGCATCTTTTCCCTATAGGCATATTGCTTAAAATCAAAGTCAAATCATTTATTTTAATTAGGCATTTTTGAGAGTCAATATAATATTAATATTACAAGTTAAAAATTAAAAAAAAAATTGATTGATTCTAGTTGCCCCTTCCAAAAGGTAGTTTCATATGGCGAAGAATGGGCAAGAAACTCCATACTTACTCTTTTAAAATAGCTTTTACAATATGTTGTATACATTGATTTCATAATTATATGTGAAGACCTACCTAGAATAAAAAAAAATACTATTCTAAAATAAAATAGGCTAGTCTAAAAAACAATGCTGCAGATAACGAAATTATTATGTGCAACTATAGATTTTCTTTAAAAAAAAAATAACATACAAGTGTGAGTGAGTTACGTCAAACGTGATTTCTTAAAAAAAAAAATTAAAGCAATTATAAACCTATATGAATAGATTAGAAACCAGTTGATTTTGTCTAGCAGATCAGAAGCATGTGCCAGTAGTTTATATTGCTTCTTCAACATTTTTTTTTTATTTTGTTTTTAACGTCAGGAAATGCTTTTACGCATATCCCTGCTGAATTTTACTCCAGCAGGGATTATGTGGGACTCAGACATAATATCTACAACCCTACCCACTAAAACCTGACGGATACCTTCAGCTCGCCAAAGCTTCTTCAACATTGACTTAGGCGACATTAGTACAACGAGTTGCTTACAAAAGTGCGGAATTGATAATATAAAATACATAGTATAACCAGTTTTCTCGGAATTATTATTAATGTAAGTAAATAACAGCAGAGGGGAATTCTTAGGTACTAGCTTCAACCCGTTGGCTAAAACTCTATCCAAAACTGCAATAGACATTTTCCACTGAAATATGATTAATACACATAACTCTTATTTAACAAAAGAACGTGTCAAATATTCTTTTGTACTGTCTAACCTCCTTTTCTATCCTGTGGATTTACCCATTCATCATAATCTATGGTTGCCTTTATGTATCGAGGAAGTTTTTCTACGCGTAGGGGAAACTTTTCATCTGAAAGATTTTTAGAAATATCAATTGTTTGTTAGCTACACAATATGTAGTGATTAACTCAGATGGAGATTATGGCTTAAAATCCTGGCGAAACAGTGTTTCTAGTTGGTATTAATTAAAAGTTTAACTTGGGATATCTAAATGACCCACATATAACACACAATAATTCGTATTAATGCAGCTGAGTTTCATCATCGGACGTCGAGGCAGAATACGAAATTCCATCCGTATCACCACGACGTCCGTCGTTCTAAAACTGAGCGTTTTTTAAGGCAGCCTCACTATGTGGAATCTGCTGCCCACTGACGATTTCCACATCTGACTTAGAGTGTCCATGGGCGGTATTCCTTAACATCAGGTGTTGTCCTTCCCGTTTGCCACCTGTGCTATACAAAATATCCGTTCGTAGATCAAATTTAATAGTAAACGGTATGAAACAATTCAGTCTTCGTATATTAATTTTAAAGAAATATATGAAAGCAACATGAAAACATACGTTGACAAGCCACGTAAATCCAGCCACAAGTCATGCCGTGAATGGTTAAAAAAACGATCGCAAACTTTAATAAAACTGGCGCTATTTGACTCTGAAATATGAATTTCATTTTAAACGAGAAATTTCACAAAGATCTGGTATTAAACAAGATTCCCGTACCATATAATAAAAATATGACTTAGGATCCTTCAACAAAAGAGCGTTTCAATTCTTAAAAGGCCGGCAACGCACTCTAGGTCTCTGGCATTGAGAGTGTCCATGGGTGGCGGTATCATTTATCAGATGGAAAAGCTTAAATCGTATACATCATGTTAAAAACCGTTAAAAATCAACTAAAAACCCTTAAATTAATTGAATTAAATTTTCGATTTATCTTATCTTAATATCGACGTAGGAAAGCAATTTGCTGTAAGTAGACAAAATACCTAAAGTGACTTTCTGTAAGAAAAAAAAAGAGCGGTTTCGATGAAAAAAAATTACATGGAACCCGTACTTATATTATTTTTAGCAAGATAAAGCTGATGTAGACCAAAATCTAGTCATTTCAGACATTTTGCACTTACAGCAAAAGAAAACTGCATTTTTTCTAGAAATACTTACTTCTTCCCATTTAAAAACTTAACGCTATTAAGCATTTCAGGGGTGTGATTTTACATGTTTACTTACAGCAAGTTTAGGAACCTACAGTTTTGGTTTTTTTTTACCATTTACGACATTTTATTTCAACCAAACATTACATTACCAAATGACCCACTGCATTTCTAGATCTAATCATAATTATAAACTAATCTTACATCTTGAATGAATTAAAAGTACCCAAATACATAAATTTCTGCATACAGCATATTTACCGCCTTAAATTGAAATATTTCCGGCGTACATTTTTCTTCCTTAGTTACAGCGTTTTAAAGGTTTGTGATTTAAAAAACTGTTTGCTGTAACTAGCCAAACAGTACTAATAACTTTGATAAAATTTAATTGAAATGGTATGATTAAATAAATATATTTTAAAAATGGTAGAATATAGAAAGAATATTAATTTTTTTCCGAAATAAAAATTGGTGGTAAAAAATATAAAATGTGTGAATATAAATTACGCGTCACGTTTTTTGTCCGCTATGGACTCCTAAACTATTTAACCGATATCAATCAAATTTGCACACCGTGTGCAGTTTGATCTAACTTAAAAGATAGGATAGCTTACATCTCAATTTATACCCGCAATATTATTTTATTGCAAAATATTTATTTATTATTTGATAGTCACAATTCTAACAGATGGCGCTGTGTTGAAAGGACCAACATTTCACATAAGCTGCAATTTAATGCCATAACCAGCAAAAAAGCATGGTGGTCCCCATGACTGGTGTTCTCCTACCGTTCCCCTTGAATAGTTTACTACTATGTAATATAACAAAAATCTTAGCCACAGCAACGCTTGGCCGAGTCTGCTAGTTATAACATATATCTAAGTTGTAATGCTTTTTGAACAGGAAAAGGTATCATAGTAATTTTGTTCAATAACACTACAATTACAATTCACAATTTTCAAGGGATCTTACGTAGATAGTTTTTGTTCTGCCATAATAATATATTTCTTAAGTTGTTTATTTAATGAATATTGCAAAACATATTTTAGCAACTGAACTATTTAAAATCCTGGGCGATACGTAGTAAACGGGATATACAGAATTTAACTTATTTTTTTTAACTTAAAAATTACAACAATTTATGTTTATGTACATGGGTGACAGTAAACACTTCTTAGTGACCGATAAAACAGTGTACCATAATAAAAACAGCGACCTCAGACCTCAATGGAATGCTCGCTGGTCAGTGGTTTTGCGCTGATGAAGAGGTAAGCGACAAAACCTATAGCCAATTGGTATCGAATAATTGTATGACCGAATAAAATTCTATCGAAAAAAAGTTTTTTTATGTTAGGCTACGAACTTTTCAGCCCGCCTAATATTACCTTAAATCCTTTACAGAAATGATGATGGTAGTAATAAAACAATCTAAGCCTCAATAATCTTGCAAGGCGGTAGTTCCATTGTCCAGTTAGATGGGTTAATATAGGTATGGTTAACGACAGAATATCCAGGTAATATCCCCAGTGTTTAAACATATGCCATTTTTGGATTCGCTCAACGCATTTATTGTTTAAGACGAGTAGTTCAAACTAAAACAAATTTAATTATGAACGCAACAAATATTTTGTTAAATTCAAACTCAAATTATTTTTATTCATATAGATGACCAAGTACACTTATGAACATCAACAGAAAAATGTAAAATTGTTTCTCCATTTACATTTACTACCAGTGCGCAAGTCAAGGGCGTAGAGCGGCCAAGAAGAACTGGCAAGATGGTGTATTCATTATAAACGTGACGTTTATGACCAGCGACAATTTACTCTTCCAACAAAATCATTAATCCAAGTGTTAGCTAGTCAACAGCTGTTATAGTCAATATTCTAACTGAGTACACGCAAATATACATATTTAATGCGTATCTATATTATTCTAACAAGAGAAATTAATAAGTTAAATATTGATACACTTATTTGACCCTGTGCCCCTGAAGATTCTCCTCCTAAGAGGCTGAAAATTAAATGTTATTTCTATAGGACTACTATACAGTGGGGTGACTATTACCAATTCGTCATGATCGGCTAACAAACAAAAACATACATATACATTGAACTATCGTATTCATCTTTCCCTTTTCATCACAGTATAAACACAATATGACAGAAAGAGACGATACAATACTTTAGCCAAGACTAAGAGAGGAAGAGAGATTAGGTTGACTGAAGTTGAATACGCATAACTTACCGTATAAAATTCAGTAATCAAATACGCTATGTGAAGTAAATCCAAGATAAATAGAACCCAATATATATTTAGTTCGTATTCGTCTGGTACAGCTTTCGCTAGTAATACTATAAAAACGGTGATGAAAGGACAAAAGAACCAACACAGGTACAGCCAGCGTGCGTACCATGTTCCTGCTTTTGCTCGAATGGGAGTATTCATCCACTAAAAAAACATTTATGAATAACATATGTGTCTATAAGTATAAAAATAATCTGTCTAATCACGTGTGTGCAAAGTGCCATCTGTGTTACACCGTACTTAATGCGATGGAAGACATAATATGATTTATTTTCTTGCATTAGAACATTATAGTGTATATGTCGCTTCAAACATATTGATGGTGAGTACTTAGCGCCTATCCACCAACACCGCTTACGGCTGTAGCTACGGACCAGTATATATGGATATATGCAGTATCCCAGGGCAGACACAGAAGCTACACTCGTGCGAGGTATGGGAGTATTTAAACACGAAATATTATATATATAATATATATATATATATTATAGTATATGACCCTACACAAAGTGAACATAATATAGTAACGGTTTATACATATATTTTGCATTAAAGTTTGTGAAATTTAATGTAATATTAAATAAAGACAGACAACACGCTTATATTTTGCTGTGGAAACAACAGCGTATAAAGAAAAGCTCAGATTAAATTTTAAAAAAATCAGTGGCGCTACAACCTCTTTAGGTCTTGGCCTCAGATTTTTGAATCTGTTTCATGATCATTTTAAAATCTAATAGGCAAGTATGTGATCAGCCTCCAGTGCCTGACACACGCCGTCGACTTTTTGGTCCAAGACATGTCGGTTTCCTCACGATGTTTTCCTTCACCGTTCGAGCAAATGTTAAATGTTATATGGGCACATAGAGAGAAAGTCCATTGGTGCGCAGCCGGGGATCGAACCTGCGACCTCAGGTATGAGAGTCGCACGCTGAAGCCACTAGGCCAACACTGCTCTGAAGATCAAATGTTTAGAGGTATTAATAACAACTTTACTGGCATTTTTATAGTTTTGCGCCCGCGGAGTATAAATGATAGAGTATTGTAAGGATTTTCTGGTACTGTATTCTTCAATGGCATGAAATCGTGCTTCGTCATAGGGTTGTGTTTCATCCGATCCCTTGTCTAAAATGTAAAAAAAATCTTTAACAATTTTCTTTAAATTCTTAACGGAGTTTTATAGAAATTAAAATGTTTCCATTTTAACATCTTTTTCTAACCTCGTCTTAAAGTGGCTCTTAGCCATGACCTGTAAAGCTTATTAAATAAAAGTTATTTCAGTACAACTTAGAGATTCTATTTCAAGTAAGAGTATATTCTATATATAAAAAAGGGTTCATTCTTGAATGTTCTAGCTAGTAGGGTTCTATTTGGTGCCGATTGCGATTGCTAGCATGCGCTCAAAACGTTTAGATAAATGTATTTAATTCGTTGAAATGAATTACCTCGTCTTCAACAACATCCTGGAAATCCTTTATGGAGATTTGCAACAGATCCGCGTAGCCATCAGCATACGCTGTTATGCGTACGGGCCTTGGTTTAGTACCATCCAATTGGCCAAATATGGATCCCTAAAGCAAATTAAAGTTGTGTTATTTATTTATTAAAGTTCACCACATCATAATATATAATCTTTCTAAAATACCTGAAAATTATAGTGAACATAAATGTCACAACACAACAAATGGTACAAGTCGAATTGGTTAGAAAATACTTCAGTAAGCAGATGTTTCCACATAGTGGTGGTGCGCGGCAAAAACTGCCTTAAGAAACGCTCAGTTGTGGAACGACGGAGATCGGGGGTGCATATGACCCTATGGTATTTTGTATTCTGCCTTAACGTCCAATGACAAAACTCAGCAAATATTAATTCGAAAAACTCTTCTGAACACTCTCTGTGGTTACGCTATGGTAAAAATCAAAATATATGCAAATCAAAGAAGCGCTAAGATAAAGCAAAGTAAGATACCTTGGTTAACTTGGCCAATTCCTCGTCATTCTGCTTAATAAGAATACTTCCTCTATGCACTATGTATATCCAGGGACTTAAATCCATCTCCCGCACTATTATTTCCCCAGGTAGGAAGAACCACTGAGCTGCTGCGCTTACAAGCTGTCTTTGAAGACTCTCACCGCCATGTAGCAAAGTGTCAGTGGCTTCGATTGTTCTAATTATAAATAAATAATAATGCAGTTGCTAAAACCCTATTGGCGTCACATTTGATCTGTCAGCCTTCTGTATTGCATTTCACCTTTCACCACATTCCTTTCTTAACAATAGACCCATATTGAGTACGCCTAATTTTAAATAGCTTGGGTTTGTTATAGTTATATATATTTATCAAATCAACCCAACGAAATTAGAGAATTATCACTGAATAAATTCAAAACTCTCGTTAAACGTAAATTAATCAATAAAGGTTTTTTATAATTTTGACGAATATTTAAATGATCCTAATGAAAGAATCAATTTAACATATTTTCTGTTGACGTTTATAAGTGTACTTAGTTACCTACATGAATAAAATAATTTTGAATTTGAATTGAGTTATCCGGAATCAAACTCATGAAAGATATGCGTAGAGTGTGTAGTAAAAACTGTTGTTTTATATTAGTATTAATAATGGTGTATTTAAATTTATTATATACCTTTTAAAAAAATAATAGTTCAGTTCTTGTCTAAAAACAACACCTATGCGTTCATTCATAAGACTTTGCATGTTCATTCCTTTTGTTCTGAAACAAATAATAAAAATGTATAGAAAAATAATTATGTAAAATTTAAGACAAATTCACTGACTCACACAATACGCGTCCTAAGCGAGAAAGCGTTTTCCAATTTTCTTTATATATTACTTTTATTTTCTACTATTTTGCTAACTAATGTATAAATTTTCATGTATCAAATATTCCAACGTCAAATCTTTGCTTCTCTATGGCTGTGAAATGTGGAAGGTCACCAAAGACATCTTGCACCGCCCACTAAAACCCCACCAGCAATCGCCCGGGGCAGGACACGGTAACAGCGTAGCCTTGTCCGCATCCAGCCAACGATCAGCCGTTAATATTACGGTCCTCTACGGCCACGAATGATGTGGAATGGACCTTGGCACAGCAAGGGCCTGTCACATCGGCCAATTCATCCTGTTTTATAGAGCTGGGGGAGGCCGGGTACAATGCTTGCAGGGATGTGTCAGCATCCCTTCTAGACATCTTGCAACGACTCCAAGTCTTCCTCAACCGCTGTCTACACCGTATCCTGGGCATCTACTGGCCGGGAAAGATCTCTAACGAGCAACATTGGGAGCGCTGTCGAGAAACCCCGATTAGCCAGCAGATCAATTGACGCAAATGGAAATGAATAGGCTATACACTCCGAAGGGATCCCAATCATATTCCCAAGCGTCTCCGTCCCAGGCAAACGTGGCGCCGTACAGTTGCAGATGAGGCAAAGAGAGCCGGAAAGAGCGAGGTGAAATACGAGGCTCATGACCGAAAGCGATGGAGACTCACTGTGGACGCCCTCTGGGGCGGTTCTATCAGCAATTATTCATCTAGGGGTTTCAGGACATTAAGTCAAGTGAGTTTATGCGACACATATTTTATTAACATTATAATAAAACTAAGAGATACACCAAGCTACCTTAGGGTGCGTCCATATCTGGCGAATGTGCCGCGAATGTGCAGCTCGCGAGCCGTTTGCGAGCTGCGCGCATGCAGTCACGGCAATGGTTCGGTGCGCCTCTTTAACGCAACTCATGCAAGACTCGTATAAGGCGTGCGCGCACTCAATTCTCGCGCTTCCAGGTCCATTTACTGACGTGGGCGGATGGAAGACGCTAGCCGCTAGCGCGTCGCCCGCGCTTAGGTTGCGAGCGAACTGCGTGCGGGTGGATGTAGACGCACCCTTAGATTTAAGTTCTGTAAGGGTGTTTGTAATATGAAAGTGTTATTTCATTACTATTCTAGTTTCATTATTACCTAAACCACCAATATCGAAAGTGAGTGATCGCTTTTTCGATTAACTTCTTGTCTACACGCTCGGCCTGCAAGAATCTTCTCAACTGACTCACTCCATGTTGGAAAATTGTATTACCACGGAAGTTTAACACCAATAATGTAAGCGAATAACACATTACATACCTGAAATAATTATGATATACTTTATTCATTTTTACAAGCCGCATCCCACGAAGTTTCATATATGCGTTTGATTTTTTTTATTGATATAAGATTGCCAACGCGCGGCACACTGATACATTGGTAAAAGAACCACATTATACAATTTTTAATGTGACAAACATTTATAGGCAAACATGACATACACAAAAAAAATCATACAACTATGGATATCTAGACTTATTTATTATCAGAAAGCTCAATCTGGACATCGGTAACCTTTGACCAAAACTAGATATTCGGAAAGGAGGAACAAATGGAATAGAGGGTACACGAAATTTAAATTTTGATAAAAAATTTGGGGCAATCAACTTGATTGCAAACGATACATCAATTAATTTTCGACGATTCTCCAACACAACAACAACATCTTAAAGTGATAAGGTTGTTCTTTTTTCAAAAAATAACCATGAAGGGTTGCTTCTTGATTCTTAGATTTCTTTATGTTTAGCCTTATGCATGTGACCGATAATAAAAAAATACTGAAGCAGAAAGTTAAATTTCCAGCTGTTACAGCATAACCGATAATACATAAAAACTGAAGCAAGAAGTTAAATTTCCAGCTGTAATAGATGTTACAGCATAACTCCTCGGTCCGTAGACCGATCTAGATGATCGAGGAGACAAATATTTCCAATTTGTTTGAATAAATAGTATTGAATTAATAATTGTCTACTACATATTAATCGGTCGGCTTACAAGCTTAAAAAAGTTGGTGGGGAATTGGCAGACAAATGCTCAAGAAAGAGAGAGATAGTGTCAGTTGGAGGAAGCCTATAACAATTTTATGTGTGTATCTTTTGTAAATATGGAATTTTTTAATTATTAATACACGCTAATTTTAAGGCGCAACTACAAGTAAATGGGTTTTATACAGAACTTTATAGTGCCTTAATATAAAATTCTTAGAAACTATGAGAAAACCGACCCTATTTTGTGGATCCAACTATCGACAAAGGGATAATTATGTATTCATATACTGCAGAACTATTTAATATTAAGCACTAGATGGTGCAACTTCGTGTAATGAGTAAATAATGTTTTAATTTAGCGTCAGTTTACAACATTTATTCTAGATAACAAAGAATATAGATAATATTCTTCATATAACACATAACACATGAGATTAAAAGTAACATACTATAAACCTTAAGCAATATTGAATATTGTTTTATTACCCTCGTCTCTTGATAGAACCTTTTTTATTGAATTAAGGCTGGTATTATGGTTCGTTTATAAATAAGATCAAGAAACGAATACTCAACACAAACTATACAAACAATTGATTTGTTGTCACAAACTATACGAATTATCGAATAGTCTACACAAACTATACAAACAATCGAATGTCTACACCACCAATAGGAACAAACGAATGTCTACACAAACTATACGAACAATCGAACAGTTAACTTTAAACTAGCTACTAGCCCAGCTTTATTGTGTCAGAATTAAATAATTTTTTTCAATAGGTGATAATTTCGTCTATGATGACGGTGATGATGAAACTTCAGTTAAAAGTTTAACTTAAGAAGGCACAGAGTTCCACAATGATTTGGTGCTTTAATATGCAATTAAATGGTGGACATATACATATATCGTAATCTTAATGTGGAAAATATGTTTTATAATACATAGTAAAATACAACCTACAAACCTAAGAGAGCAGAGCAAACATTTTTTTAGAAATTAAGCTATTTAAGCAATTACCAGAACATTATTCCAAGAATACATAAAGTAATTCCCACACCGAGATATTCGCGGTCTATATGAAACTTTCCAAGGTTAAATCTCATGAGACCACTCTGTGCCAGATTAAAGCTCTGCGCAAGCACCTTTAAAATAAATTTTAACTTCGTTTAATTTGGGAATATGTAGTCTATTTAAGCAGTGTGTGAAGCCACATGCTACAGCGTTCGACTCTCATCTCTGAGGTCGTAGGTTCGATCCCCGACTGTACACCAGTGAATTATTGTCTATGTGAACATCTAACGGTCGCTCGTATGCGGAAGCATCGCGAGGAAACCGGCAAATCTCAAACGTGTCTGTTGAAGCCTGAAGGCCAGAGACCTAGTACTCTATGAAATAAAAATGGCCAAAGAAACTGATGCAACCTGAGACCAGGTTATGGTATTGCAGCGCCACTCTATTATTATTAAATTAGGACTTTTGTTATCTTTCTCGATTTTTGAGGCTATTGTAATTAATTGATCTAAGAAATATTGTTGTTTCACTCCACATTTATAACATATTCTATTACGAGCCAAAGCTCTTTACGATTCCTCAATAGTGACCAGCGATTTCACTCACGTAAGTTCAGTTGTCTTTGATAAATTGACTATCGAACACAAAAATGTCATTTTAAGTGAGACCAGCGCTATATTGCTCTCAAAAAAACAAAGAGATCATCAATCAAACAGAAAAACTAAAAATGTATCAGTCAAAACATCAGTCTAGCCAAGACTGATGTTTTGACTGATACATTTTTTGACTGATACATTCATTTGTTAAAATGGTACAAGACGCAGGTGACAGCTAAACGTAATGTTATCTAAGGTTAAGCATGATTGATAATTTGACAATTAGACGTTTTGAAGTTGATGTGTTTATTTAGAGTTGCTATTAGCTTATCGTGGCGATATTCACAATGCCAACTAAGACGATCGAATCTTTCCCGACAAAGCCGTAATGCAATCAATGGGTGGACCGATTTTGATTAGTGTTTAAGTGGGTTCGTGAATAGTTCAGATTTTGTTTGTTTTTTTAAGTTTGAAATTTTATATTTAAGACGTCTCGTTAGTAATAAAATAATAGAAGACTTTCAGCTGATAAATACCCTTTATTTAGAATGTTCGTCAATAGCTCACAAAGCTTGCTCCTATTATGGTCTCATCTGAGCACATGCTGAATAATATATAAAAATAAGACTTACAATTTTTAACTGATGCATAGTTGGATACTCGTCCAAGGAAAGATAGTTAGGAAGCCAACAGTGGTCACGGCGAGTCATATTCAATATATATCCTGTATCATCCCATTCGAAACATATACATCTACTTACAAAGTAATTACTGGTGCCAAGTATCACCAGTACTGTCATTATCTGCATCTTTAAAATCTGAAATATGAATGAGTCTTTTATTTTAAAAAATATATTTCAAATTGTCCACACTCCTTTATTAAACCATTACAATGGTTGCAAACTGTGAAGTAGATTTGATCCCAAGTTGTGCAACAATGGACTTCCTGCTTAAGGTATGCTTTAGACTCAAAAAAGTCGACGGTATGTCAGGCACAGAAGGCTGACAACCTACTTGTCTATCAGAAAAAACGTATAATGACAAAACATATACACAAATCCGAATCTTAGACCCAAAAGGTTGTAGCGTCCCTGGTTAATGTTTGTTAATGAATTTAAGGTATGAAAAAGTTCAAGCTAAAGTATAAAACGTGAAATCATTTCGCAACTTATATCTAGACTAGAAAACTTATGCACGCGATCCTATATTAAAAAACACAACAATAAAATACAAATACAATAGTGAAAAAATATTGATTTTTAAATGCACATAATTGTAATATTATTATTAAATTGATTTCAAATACTCACCATATAAAAAGTGATGTTTCTATTAGGCAAGTCCGCCAAATAGTTAAAATAGCCCATGATAATGTAAAAATGGGCAAACTTCGATACTGTATTTATTAAAACCGCGTCATTTTTCCCAATATTTGCAGAAAGGATTGTTTTGACAGGCACACAGCCGACAACGTCAAGAAGGAATCCCCTACTCAAGTAATGCTTACAACGTTCTTTCGGATCGGTAATTAATAAGCCCTTTTGGTTATAGAATGCTAGCTGGAAGAAGAAAATTCAGTAATTTCTTTTCATATAAGATTATTCGGTACGTTGCAAAGATTCGTATCGGGTCTCAAAGCAAAGGAGTGGGAGCTCTTTACAATGTTTTCTATGGAGTTTATGAGCACGTTTAATTTAGCTTTTAGATAGGTAGGATAAGACGATATCTTCGCTCGAAATCATGTGATATTGTGGTCAAACGCTTACGTTAAAAAGGCGGCTGAACTAATAAGTATGAGGCCTATAGACGCAAAGACACTGCATGAAAACTGTTTAATGTTAATAAAACTGGTTTAGCATCGTTGTGGTGACTGGTGTGACTTTCAAATCGACGAAACGAGAAATCGCCAGTCAAAAGAGACATACACATAAATTAATAAGATTTAACGTGGGAGAAAATGAGATAGGAAGCATTATACAGTGTATAAACTTTAAATTACTGTGTGTGTAATTGATCATTTCCTGAATTAAAAAAACATAGATGTGCAAAAAATCAAATAAAAGACTAATTTAATTAAATTATAAATTTTGATGAAATTTATCAATTTTATTTACATATTATAAAAACTTTTTAATCATTGTAGTTTTTATCAAAATTTATAATTGATATTAAACATTAAAAAAACTACGGGTTGCATTCCGGGAGTGCCGGCAAAAGTGAAAACTTGAATATTAACGTTGTACAGTTTTGATATTTTGGAATGGTTAGGGAATAATTTTGCACGAATAGCTTTAATTATCAGTATAAAAGTACTATAATTGTATAGTATTGTGTATATGTGGTAGAAAACAATATTTATTTATTGCGCTATCGTACACAAACATGACAATTTATATTACATTAAATACGCCGCGCCTGCTGTGTACTCTCCAGCCGTCTAACGAATCAGGTCACGTGTCCTGACGCGAGTTTAACATTTTTTACCCATTTAAAGAAAAAACTTTTTAACCGGATTAAAGTTATGTATTATTATAAATCTTATAAATCTTATAAATATTATAGATTTATAATAAAACATAACTTTAATCCGGTTAAAAAGTTTTTTATTTAAATGTGTAAAGGTTATGTCAATCAAAGACAATACTATTTTTTACCCATTCCAAAAAAGTGTACAACGTCGCTAAAGAAGTTTTCACTTTAAATAAATTATATTCGTTTAATTATCTTGAAACCAAAATTTTTTCACTTCTACCTCATGTGAGTTGCACATATGTTTTTTTTAATTATTATTTATTAGCGGTAAAGCCACCAGTTGCACCATGGTTATCTTAACTTTAAAGTTTATGGTTAATATTATTATTTAATTCGTGTGCAAAAAGTATTTAATCATAATATAAAACATTAATAAATAAGCGTAATACAAAAAAATGCAAAGTAACTCACAAATAATTTAATGGAAATATCTGCATAGCCAATACAATCGCAAACATGACCTATTATAATCAATGGAGGCCTTATACAAGCACCAACTCCTCCTAAAAATTGAAATAAATAAATAAATAGCCCTATTAATTTTCAATCATGACAAAACAAAAAAATTAATAAATATACAGCTTAGATTTTTTACTTTTTATACATTATTTCTTTCATGTTATCCTTCCTACCTACGCTACCTGCAGTACGGTCAATCGGAACCCAGACCGGAGATAAATACGTACGTAATAAAATTTCCTGTTGCTTGACACACATTGTAATTCATCTTTAAAAATACTTTCTTGAAACATATGAACTACTGGTTGATTTTTCGTCCTTGTCAAACTATCACATTAAGAAATTTCACAGAAGTGGCTGGGCGTTAATGTCTTTAAATATTTTTGCAATATTGGCGATAAATTAAATACTCATTTGACTACTTTAATTCGTGTAACATTAACTTAAGTCTAAGAACACTTTGATTGAATCAATTTAAAAAAAAATGTGATACATAGTTCATCTATCATGGAAAAAAATAAAAATATAGATTTTTTGGCTTAGTGAGATTTCCGAATATAACTTGTAAAGGATCGATGAAACAGATATATTACAGAACTAACGTCTCGCTCTATTATAGCTGATTTATAAATAAATAAGAACTTTTATACACCTTGTAATGACGCCGAAACAATTGAAATCACAGCAACAATGACACGAAATACCATCCAAGTTTGTATAAATCTGTAAAAAGTTTATGAATATTTAAATTCCTAAAGATTATACGAGTATTAACTAATAGCTATAGCTAATAGCAAAAAATATTATCAACAAGTAGGATTATTTATATATACGTATATTTAACAATAGTCTTCATTCTTTATGCCACATTTACACTCAGGTAACTCTCGGGCAGCCTCGGGCAGGGAAGTGTGCAGCGTGAGCATGTAAATAAGTTACCAGCCCTGCCACTGAGAGCAGAGATAGCAGAGAAATTGCAGCAATAAGTAGTTAGGAACACTTCTGGCAGTAACAGGAGCAGTAGCTAGTGCTGTGGTATTGAACTTAATAAATAAATGTTGTATTTATTATTCTTACATTTCGTATAATGAATTATTTAAAATAGTTCCTGTCAATGTCAAAATATAAAAATGTAATTTCAAAATACCTCGACTCCGGATCAAACCAAATGTTACGTGTTTTCTTTAATTTTATCTTCCATAGCGAACATCGTTTTAATGAAGTGACAGAACTTTGATTGAGCAATTTCATGCGATACTATAAAAAAATTAAAAACTTTGTGATTTGAAAAAAATTTTTTTGCTAATACAATATTAGTTACTTAGGAAATATACGTGTCTCCAGTAATTCGTGAAAACCATAAAATCCGCCCTTAGATTTTATGGTATTCACTCGATTTCAATTTCGATGAAACTAGGACTGTAAGTTGGAAGACGATCTTTTAGTTTTATAGAAATTCGTTGACAGACAAACAAACATACTCAAATATAGCCAATATCATCTTACATGCAGGTCAATCTCAATCAAATTGTTTGAAGTCGTTTAAAGTTTACAAATAGCGCCAATACTAGGATATCAACAAAATTCTGTCCAATTTAACCATTAATTTAATGTACGTATGTTCTGTGCATTAAAAATTGTTGATACTAATATATGGACGTGTTTATTAGACTTTTACGTCTGTTATACTGGTATACCAGGGTCGTATCAGCCTTAGTTTTGTTCCAATTGAAATCGTTCTTAGTTTAACATTATATGAATAAAATTATTACATCTTTATACTTCTTGACATAATCTTGAACCATTTGATCATACTTCGACATATATCTCTCAATACAAAACTCAAAATGATCGTGCTCATTAGGATAGTTTTTCAAAATGTGAAAAAAGTCGATCACTTTTAAGTAGAGAATCTAAAAAAGATAATTATTAATCATTAAGATTTTTGTTCCCAATAATCTACGAGAGAGACACCATAATAAAGATAACAAAAAATAGTGGCGTTACAACCTTTAAGATCTGGGCTTCAGATTTATGTATCTGTTCCGTGATCATTTTAATTCATGTAGGCAAGTAGGTTATTAGACGGCTGCCACACGGTGTCGACTTTTTGGGACTATGTTTCAGAAATAATACTGAAGCGGTAAATCGGACTCGTACGTCAAAAGTGCATTGTATTTTGGCATACAAGAGTCATAGTTCAAAATAAGTCTCTTCTCTGAGTGCCATACCACACCGGGACGCCATGGCGACGTCGCCAACTAGTTCCCATTGGGATGTATGCCGGCTAACTCACTTGGCGACCGACTGGCGACGTCGCCAAGTAGCCACCGGAGACAGAGTCGACCACTCACATGCGGCGAATGGCGACGCTGGGTACCTGGCGACGCCGCCAGTTATTTGCACGACTTTGTATGCTCCGTCACTCACTCAGTCGACAACCAGTTGCCGAATTAGCATACCTTAGCTTAGCTTAGCTATAGGTATAGCTTTTTTTGCTTTTTCGGTCTTTTAATTATGTTTTTTACTTAGTTATCCTGAAAGAAATTGTTAGTAAGGCTCCTAATCATTAATATTTAGGTGAAAAATGATTTTTAAATTTGATTTAAAATGATTAAATAAAATAATAATTATTATTTTATTATAATTTTAGTGATCATTTAATTAAAATTTATTTTTGATTATGATTTTTGAGTCGAGACAGAACTGAATGCATTGGCGACGCGATTTGGCGACTCAGTCTGGCGACGCAAAGACGCCAGTCGTAGCCATGGTAACGTCGCTGGCCACGTCGCCATGGCGTCCCGGTGAGGGAGGGCACTAAATCTTACGCTAAGGCATGGTTCCCTTAGGATGTTTTCCTTCACTCATAGCGTATGTAAATACAAATATTAATTAAACATAGTACTTCGCATTCTGTAGTTGTTCTCAATGTCCTAAGCGATGGTTTCCCCAAAAATACCGCACAAGACGTCACAAAATCGCCGGGTCTGTATTCCTTCTTGTACACTTCGCCTTTAAGATCGTGATATTCCGACGTCATGTAACCCTAGTATTTATATATTAAACGTAAATAAATAAATTAATATACAGTCAAAACCGCTTTCAACGACATCGTTTAGAACAACATACCGGTTATATACCAAAATTAAAGGTCCTGGCTGAATTCTATGTACTTAACAACAACGTCATCGGCTGTTACAACTATCGGTTTTTACGACCAAATACGAGTAGTCCCTTCGATGTCGTTATAACAGATTTTGACTGTAATACCTTAAACATATAAAAATAAGGCAACAGGCCTTATCACTAACAAGCGATGTCTTCTAGGCAACTAAATTGAGAAAATTAAATACCTACAGAGGGTAAAGTACAAGTAGTGAATAAATAATTAGCAAAAAAATTTAATTCTTTGACTGATTTATTACTTTACAGTGTATTTTTTTAACTAATTAATCATGGATATAGTTGGTTAAAGATTCATTTGTCAACTGAATATATCTTATTATACTATAATCAATGTCAATCTACCTGAACAAGCCATGTAACAGTTTTAGTTTGTACGCCAAACACGGAAATGGTGCAATTCTTTGGGAGTAAAAGAAATTTTGCTTTATACGCCAGCTCCTTTATAAACGCTGGCTCGGCATACGCAAATGCAGGTGCCGCCTTAATTAACTTCTCGGCAACCTCTCCGTGTAATTTCCAATAAATATCGTACGGTTCATTCTTCAACAAATTAGGATGCAACACGTCCATGCCATTAAAATACTTCCAATGGCATATCAAATACTGATTCAGTCGTATGAGCAAGCCCGGGTGTATTTTATAATGTCGGTAATGATTCTTTATACTACTAACGAAGTACTGATAGTTCACTAACTCCCGATATCTCAAATAGAACATCGCTACCGTATTAGTTTTGATATAAATAACAATCAAAAATACCAAATAACTAATAATGACTATTACATATATATCTATCAAAGATCCAGGAAGATACTCGTAAAATATGAACTCCAATAACCAAGCCAAAAATATAATAAAGGCATTCGGCAACTCAATATCGCATTCAAGTTTGGGGACAGTTGTGTTGCACTTCAAAAATAATTCTCCGAAAAAATATGCCGTGTTCAATTTTGGATTCTTCCGATCGAAAACGTATAAAATATAACTCGTTATATACGCAAAGGAGCTCACAACTAGAGCCATTTTATAATTCACATCGAATAATGGGTCCTTCTTCAAATCCCATTTAGAAAATAGAACATATATCTTAATTAGTCGATTAAACTGCAGAGGATTATAGAGCTGGTGAAATCCGCTTACAGACGCAAATGTTTCAATCCAAATAGTAGAAAGCACATCAAGCATAAACTTTATTGTTTTGCATCGAGAAAATATAATAATTGTGTAATCGTCCCCGATATTCTCTTGTCCATCTATCGCGGTTAACAACATCACGCAAATATCGCAAATGTAAACAACATCAGTCCAGAACTGAAATAAACCGAACCACACAGGCGGGTTCTTCGTCGATAGATAAGGGGGATAGAGAATTAAAACCATGAAAACCGTGCCAACAACAATGCGATGCCACAATAAAACGAACTCCGATTGGGGAACAAAAATCCACGGAAATTTTGTGGAAACGAATGAAGACTTTGTTTGAATTTGCTCATCACTCGACAGAACAAGCTGCCCGATGTATTTCGGACAATGATAAACTGTTTCTTCGGCTGTAAGCTGGCACCGAAAACCTTCTTTATCGTATAATATTTTGCAGTTACGGTAAGCTTCGGAAATTTCGCTCCAGCGTTTTTTCACCCACGCTATACCCTCGTCTTCTGATCTGTCTAAGCCTCTAACATGTTGTTTACAAGTGTATAAGGTCCGCGCATGTTTTATTCTATCTTTAGCCAGTTGCAAAATGAGACGCCGATCGTGGGGATGTTTGTGGAGGGAATTCAAAATGTCAGCCCGTGTGATATATAATACCTCGCAATATGTTACGCATTGTACAATTACTTTCCTTTTCGGTGGGACCAAATAAAAACTTATATCACCCAACAAAGTACCGCTAGTCAATGTTATTAAAGGCGTCACGCCATCATCCAAAGAAATAAGTTGTATCTTTCCAGATTTAAGGTAGTACAGATGGTTGTAACAATTAGGGCCTGCAAAAAACTTCTCTCCCGGCAACTTGTAGTCCATACGGATTACCTCACAAAGCCAGCGTTTATAGGAATCCGATGTCCTTCTAAATGTAGGACTATGGTGGAACACCGGCCAAACTAAATCTTGGCGTATGTCGAGTCGTAAATATCTCGGTAATTCAGAAATCACTTCAGGCACGCTGGTAATTCCGCTCCTCTTCTTCCACATTAAGGAATAGAAATCCTTGACGTCCTGGTGAGCCTTCGGGGATATATTTCGCCTTCTGGTCTCGTCAATAATTCTTTCTACTTTTGGATAATATGAGCCCATTCGTCGAAGGCTTAACATAGACTCTGATACCATTTTAGGGATAACGACAAATGTTAATAAAAAATAGCCTAGTAACATCAAGATATCCATAAAAATATACTCCTTGATGGTTGAGGGTTTGGTCTCATCCAGCTGGTTGTTGATAAAGAAACTGTATATAAATGATCCTCCGTATATGTATGTGGAATATGATTCATCCGTTTCATTCAACTGTAACAAAATCGTTAAAGGGAAAACATCCATAACTTAATTTTTTTTTTGCTTAGGCAAAAAATTACTAGTACACTCTAAAATTGGCAGTGTTCTATTTTTGTAAACCATAATTGTCATGTACTTTATAATAAATAGCTTGTAACATATGTAGATATGTATAGTGTATGTGAACTTTAATAACTAAACTTTTTCATTAAGTGTAGTTTGCATTGTGCTATTCTAACCGTAGTTCGAGGGTTGAATACCCCGCTAACACCAGGAATTTTTTTTTAAACGTACAATGAATTAAGCTATTAAGTGTTAAAAGTAATACTTCTAAATTAAATACTGTACGATAATTTAAAAAAAGATTTTCGTGTCTTTTGTGGTCGCACTTTAACCACGTGATTAAACCTAACGCTAAAAGACGATGTCCATATCGATGGGGTGACAATATTTCTCTGACTTTTGTATGTATTAATTTAGTATCAAACGTATCCACACTGCGCGATATTATTCATGATAAAAGGTCGCGTTATCGCTTACAAAAACTATTGGATTTTACATATTGCATACGAAAACTTGAGTTGGCTGCATGTTGAATGAAATTGGCAAACATTAACATAAAAATAGATGACTTGTGTCCAGTATCAGAAGGTCAACCAGTAGTTGTTTTAAAACTATGATCAATTGTATAGTGGGCTCGGATACGGGGTTTTGTCTTTTATCTTAAATAGTGGCTGGCCATGCGTCATACTCGTGAACGGGTGCTATTTGTGGTGACTGGTCGTACTTGAATTCGTGTATGCGGTGATGTTAGTTATTTCGACTAAGTGTTGGCGTGTTGTTCCCACGAGAATGTAAGTGCGTGCTCCTATTTCACCATGCCTCCTGCTGATAGGACAAGTCTTCGTTTTTAATTTATGTTATTATTATTAATTACTTAAGATGTCATGTGGAACATGGTGTAATGGTTGCAGCTTCTTACAAACGTTGTGTAAAAAAAACATGGCGATTAAAGAGTGGCGGCGAGTTTATTGCCAGTTCTTCTCTTCCGTTCTACGCCCTTGATTTGAGAACTGGCACTAAATGTAAAGTTAGAAGCATTTCATATACATTTCTTTTTTCGACGATCATAAGTATACAATGTGTTACCTATACGATTAAATGATTTTTGAATTTGAATTTGAGTATGTGATAAATTTGCACATGTGTAGAGATAATCCATTCTCTCATTCTAATCTCAACAATTACGTAGGTAGAAAGTTTCATACTGTATAATTATTTGAATTTAATTGTACCTTTTTATATACAAACTTCCTCCAATCATAGAGAAATTCATTACATCTTGGGCAATTTCCAACCATAGTCAATAGAATAAAAAAACACGTTATACAGTTGACACTTATAGTGAACATTAACGTGTAACCAATAACAATCTGCCAGAGTTCATGAGAACTTAGTAAAGAAAACGATTCCGCTATTCTGTATATTCTGAAAATTCAATTTTGAAAGTTAAACATTTAAATAAGAAGACTTACGACTGTCTCTAATGTAAGTTTAGTGTGTATTTATTTATTTATTTATTAACACTTCGTTGCATATACATTAATATAGTACAATTGACATAATTAAATAAAAAAAAAGCAACTGGCGGCCTTATCGCTTTCAAGCGATCTCTTCCAGGCAACCACTGTGAGAAAAAAAAAGTATTAAATTACATAAGATAGGCAAGAAGTGCAAAAATACACGTATTACATTTAGTTGTTTAGAAAAAGAAACTAAACAGGAACAAAAAACAAACTAAACTAATAAAGAATACATGAAAAAAAAATAGTAATAATAATAAAAAGTGCACATGAATCATTATTATTTAATGTAGATAGACATTTAATTTTTTTTGGATTTGAATGTAATACAAGTTTAAAGATATAATATGAAAGTTGTCTTTACACGAGACCACACAAGAAGCTTTTAACTGTATTAGAAATATTCGATTTTAGAGCAGTGTTTCCTTATCTTGACGTCGTAGGTGTTGATCTCCGGCCATGCTCCAATGGACTTTCTTTATATGTGCGCATTTAACATTCGTTCGAACGGTGAAGGAAAACATCGTTAGGAAACCGGCTTGCCTTAGACCCAAAAAGTCGACGTCGTGTGTCAGCACAGGAGGCTGATCACCTACTTGACTATTAGATTAACAAATGATCATGAAACAGATAAAAAAAAGTCGTAGTGCCACTGTATATTTTAAACCAATCCAAAATAAGTGCATAATTAAAACACTAAGGAATGTATTAAAATTGCATTTGCTGCCAAGCCAAAAGTTTGCCTGCATTTGGAATATATCATTTATATTTTAAGCTAAGCTAACACTAATAAAAGTCGGCGTCCACATTATAGCATCGTAAATATCGGAGGCAAGAAACGGATTGCTAAAGCCATTTTCAATCAGATTTTCGTCGTGCTAAATCATCTAAAAGAAGAAATTATAGAAGATAAATGACGGACGACGCGGGTCGACCGAGCTCCCAGAGTCCATTTCATTTGGCGTCACCGGCACGAATTGCAAAAAATCCCATAAAAAATGTGGACTCCTACCTTAAAAACCTATAATTTGCTTGTTTTTAAAGTCATGTAAAAAATATTAACATTAAACTAAATTAATAGTTTCTCTCTCGACATAAGCGTCATGTCATCTCCGAAGGTTCGGTTCCAAATCCAAAAAGCAATTCAAAAGTTCTTACATGACAAATTCCGAAAAGGAATAAACATTTGGTCGAAATTCAACAGGAGCACAGGGTACGTCTTGAATTAGACTAAAGAATGGTATAAGTGATATCACATCTAAAAGTATCAGTACTCCCGATTTTGGCAAATATTCTCGCTTCACTGCTTCATCTCTTATTTGCCTAAAAATTTAAAACATTTGGGTGTTGCAATAACTGTATCTGATAGAATTATAATATATTTTCACATCTATTCAAAAAGAGAGAAATTTTGACTGCCTACGGATACAAATTGGTTCAAATCAGGATTGTCGATATTGTTAAAATAAAAAAAAAGGGTGCGTGTACTTATGTACGCGCGTAAGAAGTTATACTTCTTTGGCATTATTAAAAATAGTTTGGCTTTGTTCCACCTCCAGTTTTTGATGTTTCACAGCGATAAGATGACAACTCTTTTTTTGTATTCAATTTAGTGCACTTACACTGATTCATCAATTGTTTTTTGTCTCTTGTCCTTATATTTGCTAGAGAAAAACTACATGTTTTGATTAAACAATGTGGTAATTTTTTTAATCAAAACATTACTCGATAATAATAATACAAACTGATAGTTAACCTCAATTGTAATGAAGCACTTAGGAAGGTTGATGAGCACAGTTTTTTCACAAATATTAATTAGTATTGGTTTAAATATTCAATTTAAATCACTTCTGATTATATATAATTCAAAAAGCATTGCTAAATTTCTTTGAAAAAATAATTAAAACTCCTTTATTTGTTTAAAAGGTAAATGACAAATGTCATTATGGTCATTCAAAATTCTTGGCATACGAACTTCACGCATATTCTATTTCTTTTTACTTGTAGATTGTCTTATTCCTATCTCGCTCGCGCACGCTATAATCACACTCCTAATTTTGTGTCACGGTGCGCGCGCATCGTAAAATTTCACTCTCATAAATTTTTCATAACGCGCCTAAAGAAGTATAACTTCAAAAATAAAATATGTTTATTATGGAACTTAAGATACATGTATCACTTATACCACGTCATTAAATTTGAATTTGTAGGCATCCCTACTCATCGGCAAAGAAGACAGAGGGTGTAGGCCGAGAGGAAAAGCCGGCGTAAAAAACTCTCGGTACTCTTTAATCAATGTTTCAATCACTTAAGATAATTATTATGAACATTATATGCTGTCAAAAAACTTCCACGTGGGCCAAACGCGGTTACCAAATTAAAAAAAGTGAAACTCATACTTTCTTTTGTTTTTTGTTGAAATTCAAATTACTTAAGATAAAAATTATATGGTGATTAAAAAAATAAACGTAATTCTAAATCATGAGTTGAAATTCCTTTTCTTTTTTTAAGGGTTGCAAAATGTCAATGGGCGAAACTATTTTAAACTCTAGTTTCAATTCCTTCCATCTAAAAAATCAACAATTTTATAAGTTTTTAGTGTACCAAATGCCTAAATATTATTTAGACTTATTAAATCAACATCGTAGGCAATGAGCACCAAAAATAATCTTCTGAAGAAAATATAAACGGTGTTTACTAACCTATGAAGGATATGAAGCAAAGTATCAATGCTATATATAGGATCACATAGATATAAATAAGCAAATTTTATCAGGCTTAAACTTGTATCATATTCCATAGTGTCCCAACAATAAACAATTGGATATGCAGCTTGTATCGGCCCCTGAAAATAACTGCTTAGAAGAAATCTTTCGAATTTGCATAATTTAACTTCCTAATTATTCAATAAATATTTGTGACAGAGTAAGGTATTATAGGGAAAGGAGGCCTCGTTATAAATCTACAACTAAGCCCATCACCATGCTTCTATATGGCTGTTATCCCAGTAATAGTGGGTAACCATAGAAACTAACCCACTAGTATTAGTCTAGCTAAAATTGAAATGTTACATGGGCTGAACATTTGATAGAGGACGCAATTATATTTATGGGACATGTAGGGGGGGTCAATACAAGCTTAAACCCAAGTTTGTGGGGTTGGCGCCCTTGTCCCCCGGCCGCCATTTTGGAAAAAGGGGTTAAAACACGTTTTTGGCTATATCTCCTACACTATCCATCGTGCTTCTTCTTGTGCTATATACCAACCGCTATGAATGCACAAACGCGTTTATTTTAGTTAAATTATGCAATTTATCCCTACATTAGTAAGCAAATTGATAATTACCTGGATCGAATTATTTCGAGTTATATTATATTATCTACAAGTCGATTTGGCCACGGCAAATATTACACAGCAGAATCTATAAATCACTATTTAGTGCACACACTTTCGACTCCATAAATGATGTTCTATGTTATTTTGATGGTGATCCAAAACGATAGCGGAATTTAAATAAATAAATCAGTGGCGCTACAACCTGTTTAGGTCTTGGCCTCAGTTTTTTGAATCTGTTTCATGATCATTTTTAAATCTAATAGGCAAGTAGGTGATCAGCCTCCATTTGCGCACATAGAAATAAAATCCATTGGTGCACAGTTGGGGATCGAACCTACGACCTCAAGTATGAGAGTCGCATGCTGAAGCCACTAGGCCAACACTGCTTTGGAGAATACAGTATATAATATACTCGAAGCGGTAAGGCGTTTGTTTGACTGTGATTGTCTTGATAAAGTATTTAAGAAATGTTTAAAGAACTTTATTTCTCATTGCAATTTTGTATGAGAAACTTAAATACGAAGGAGCACGTCACCATCAGACAGCCAACTAAGCTCATTCTGATGTGTATCTTTAAGAAATGTCTTAATACCATAGTGAAAGTCTTGTTTTATATCGGACGGGATTACACCACTAATGATCTACAGTGGAACATAACCTAGCTTATGAACAGACTAAGGAGATTAAAATAGATATAATAAAGTAAATGGACATAAAACAGGAATAAAAAAAAACGTAGCATAGAAGGGGGTGAGTTTTGAAGAGTAAAAAACTTTTTTTCTTGATTTCCAGCTAAACTAAAACTCGTATGGAAAAAAGTAAAATGGCAAAGTTGTAGGTAATAAAAAGATCTAAAACTTTTGTATTCACACATTTTTCACATAACCTCAAAATTTATGTGAAAAATTCAAAAAAGCACAACAAAAAGTTTTTGGTTTTTTATTTTTCTTTTACAAATTTTTTTGCAAAAATTGCAAATCGGAATATACTGCTATAATCAACAAACAAATAAGTTAATAATATTAATATTAAATAAGACATCTACAATATTTTGAGAAAGTTGTAGAATCTTCTTTAAATTATATGCGTAAGATTAAACTTATACGAGTATACCTGAGTGACCTACGAAATTTTTTTTCGTATTTCATAGAAAAGAGGGGAAGGGTCTGGGCCTTACTGCGTCGTTAAATTTACACTTCTATTAGTAATTGTGTAATAGGTGGTTCTATATTAATAAATAAATTATTCAGATAGACAGGCTGACTCTAAACAACTGCGATTACTTTCTGAAATTCAGATTGTTGAACGCAGCTGTTTGATATTGAGGCCACATTTTAAAAGAATCGGAATGATTACTCACCAATATTGTTTTTAAGATAACAACAACCAGTACTATGGCCTTAAATGTTGGATTAAACGGTAGAAATAATAAATTGCTCCATTGTATGTTTTGTTCGCCCTCCAAATCATCATCATCATCTTCGTAGTAATGTGTTGGGACAGATGTCATTACAAGCTACTATATATATGACGATATATATTATATACTATATTTATTCTTGAAGAAATGTTTATAGATCTTTTGATTGTTGTTTTTATTTAGCTCTATCGTACATTCTATAATGTCATCATGACTGGCTAACTGCTAACATAATAAATACTTTTTTGACTACTATTTTTAAAATAATATTTTTTATAGCCACACCGCTCGCATGAACAATGGCAGATGGACAAATATCGAGGTGGAAATGACCACTAGGGAAAAGAAAGAGAAAGAAAAGATTAAGTTGGTAAGATTGGAAGAAAAATGCTCAAGATAGAGTGGGATGGGGCAGTTGGAGGAGGATTATACTCAATAAGAGGTCCTTGAAAAAAATACATATACTTTTGTATACAAATTTTAAGTATCTATTGTAATGGGATAAATATTTCAAGAAATAAATAAGGCTTAGTTATTATTATTTTTATTATGGAATAATGTGTGTAGATTATTTATATGTACTGAAGAAGTATATCATTCTAGTCTAACTTTTCGTTTAAAGCTCAGAGTATATTTATAAATAAATGAAAAAATATGTATTAATGTTATGTTTTATATAGAACTGGACAGACGTATTGACACAAACCTACTTGATGTTAAATGAGATGGGCCATTGTAGGGCACGTCTGTTTAGAATGAACCCATATTAACCCATGTAATTATAATAATATAATATTCAAATATAAGCTTAGTAAATATTATATATAAACATATTGGGAGCGGCCGGTAAAACATTTTTTTAGTAACAAGAGCGAGGACATAGGGCTCTTTTACATGCTATTCTGACCATACTCCCATCGGAAGAGCTTTGTCATCTCAACATATAAATATTTTTTTAATGTTATTTATTATTAAGTTTGTTATGGAAGAGCTGGGAACCCTGACACACGTATTTTTTTTGCTTAAAAGGGTATAATGAATTGTTGTCAAATGAATAAACACCTTATGTAGTGGTACAATACCTTATGGTACCGTAAGACAGTGAGTAACTAATTGTGCAATTCATTACGTAAATGTATATTTGGTAAAATTTAGAAAACTTATAAATCTTTCTCATAATTCTGATTTTCAAGGAAACGAACAAAATATACGTTGTAAGGTTTCGGATAAACAAAGCAATGATTTGACCAAGTATAAAGGTGAAACAATTAAGGAAAATTTCAAAGAAATTATAGACTAAATCAAAAGCAAAACAGGAAAAACGTTAATTAAGTCCCCTTTTATCTAATAGAAAATAGCCTTTGTCTCTTTCCGTCCTTTAGACATGGGCTTTAAGAAAGATGAAATTTAAATTGAAGTCCTTGGATAGGGTATTAGGTTATGATTAGTAGGTCTGGAACAACTTCATATCATCTGCTGAGAAATCTACCGTGTTTCCTTGTATCTCTTTCACTGTTCTATTCGAGATAAAACATACACAGATATTATTTATAGGAAGAAAATAATAATCTCAAAACAAATTAAGTAAAATTACGAATACTAATGGTATATGTTGGCGCTTGGTAGATAGTACTGATGACCCCAGAGCTGGTGATTTTCGTGTTCAACGAAAGTATCGTAATACAGCGAGGAAAAGCTGTCAGCGTTAAAGGTACACAGCCACACCAACCAAATTTGTTTTAATTTTAATTTTCTTTTTATTAATTTTTATTACTACCAACTAGGTTAAGAAAATTGTAAATACTGTATATTTGATTGTTATGTTTAGATATTATTAAAATTAACGATTTACGATATATAATTTTAATTTCTATATTTAAAATACAAATATATAGTAGTTTTTTATATTATTTTTGTCACTATAACAGTTGCTTGATGCCCCAACGGTAGCTGCATTTCTACATTCTTTTAAACGATCTACACCATCCGGTGGCCCCTGGCCACCATACCAACCAGGCTAGTTGCAACTAAGATATTAAACATTTGTTTTATGTCCTAAAATATTTTATACAATCCCAGCAGTCAAAAAGGTATAAAAAACCGTCTACATTACTGCGCATACTAGGGGTCAAAATTTAAATGTTTTAAGTACTTCATTCTCATTAACATATAAATGACAATTTTTTTCATGAGAATTGAACACCACCATCGGACAACAGCTTTAATTTTGTAATTTTAACCTTCTGTGCTGATTTTAATACCCTTTTAAATGTATTAAAAACAGTACCTTTACGAATGTAATCCATTAAATAATTGCACACCCTCATAGTTTACAGATTCGAATAATTCGTGCGTAGCTTCGGAAAGATAATCAAACCCGCTCGACGAGCTGTGCGTATAGTGGTATGTTTGATTTATTTAAATGATAAGCTATGGAAAGAGTTGTTAAAGGATAGCAAACTAGCAAACAACAAAAAATAGGCCTTATTACTAGTATGAAAAATAAAAAAAACAATCACCAACTTAGGGTAAAGTACAAATTCATAAAAATTTACAAAGCAACAAAGTTACATGTGACACTAGAAATACTAACTAAACTAAAATAAAAATGTGTGATATCTCAAATTTATACTTTAAATATTTATCTATTGTAAGATCCACATATTTCTCCCATGTCAACATCTTAAAGGAAATTAACGAATATGGCCGTAACAATAACTATATTATGTTTGAATTTGTTAACGCAAAATAAGTATTTACCGCGAACATAAATGGCCATTTAATTAAGTAATGCGTAAGTTGACTTTTGATAGTGGGTTAACGAAATTGGATCGCCTTTTAATCTCAACGCCACTCTTGTTACACTAGCATAAGTAATTGCGTGAATAATTCAATCAAGTAAAAGGATTAAATATTAAGATTATTTTATTATCTTGATTTCTTTTTTGTGTTGTGTAACGTAAATTGTGTTGTATTTTTGTCTAATAAGCCTTCTGTTTCTTGGCTGTTGTTGTAGTTTTTTACTATGGAAATATACAGTTCATTAATAAGCGTAATAGATTATTGTATTAGTATATTGTCTCATGTTCATGTTGTAATGTACTTAATAAGAAATAATATATTAAACCGTAGAAATGCATCTTATATCTAATACAGAATATTTTGTGTATTTCAAATCATAAGTAGCCAGACTTGACTACAAATGTAACATACTCTTTATTTTTTGCATAAATGAATAACAGGGTTTGACAATATATTAACAAATTACATTTAATCTGAGTTCATAGACATCAAATATGAATCTGACACATATAGTTATAGTTCAACATAATATTATATAATAACGTAAAAAAATCTGAACATAAATAGGCTAAAGATTTACAAATCTACGTAGCAACATTATTCTTAAAACTTTCTTCATTATCATGGCCTAATAAATTCTATCATTCACGAGATCGTCAAATTTTACCTTTATTTTATTATAAATTATTAATTTATTTTTTAGGACCCAAAGTTGAATTAGTTACGATATAATACTTCGATGGACAGCGAAATTCAAATACTGGTAGTGCGTAGCAAAACGTTCCTTAAACACGCTTTTAGTTAGATAAACCAAATATTCAACTAAAACTAAGCAGAAAACAACACAATATAGGATAGATTTCTCAGAGAAATGATACAGCACATATATGGACAATAAATAAAATAACGTTTTCATTTATCGGTCTAATATCGAGTGTAACAAACGAGCCAGCGTATTTACTCATCCAATAGCATTGCTATAGCCTGAATGAGCATCGGATCATTGTGTTTAATGTAACGGTTCCAATGGGGCACTATTTATACGACTCATCACAGAAAACAATTGAGGATTAAATATCTATACTGTTTGTATCGTAAAGGAATTACTTTTTATAGTTAAATAAATCAGTTGCGCTACAACCTTTATAGGTCTGAGCATTAGTTAATCTAATAGGCAAGTAAGTGATCAGCCTCCTGTGCCTAACGCACGCTGTCGAGTTTTTGAGTGTAAGGCAAGATGGTTTCCTCACTATGTTTTCCTTCAACGTTCGAGCGAATATTAAATGCGCACATAGAAAAAGTCCATTGGCGCACAGCTGAGGATTGAATCTACGACCTCAGGGATGAGAGTCGCTCGCTGAAGCCACTAGGTCAACACTGCTCACTTTTTATAGTTAGTATAGCAATATGCAGACGTTTTTGCAGAACGCCTATAATAAGCTACCCAAAAACGCTTTCTTCGTGCCACGATTTTTCTACTTCTGATGCCCATTCATCTTTAGCACAAAAATTGTATCATCGATTTAAACCTACATACACTAATAATCTTAAACAACAGTTTCTCCACCAGTACTAAGCAAAAACGGAAAATATTCTTATTGCAAACATAGTTTAATTATAAAATGCAAGTGTAATGTAGAAATTATTAAATATCAAGTACCGTTAACATGTCAAAGCAAAGAGACCAGTAAATCCTAGTGTGGGGGCTAGTGAGTAGTGCACTATCTTTTTAACTAAACAACCTTTTTTATTATGTATAATAAAGTTTTTCTTTTTTCTTAGCTTCAGTTTTCTCCTTCAGGTCCTTGCCTAATATATGTCTATAGAAAAAATAATGTAATCTAATTCAAACGCCATTATGTCTTGAGTAAATGACTAATCCACGGAGGGATATATTATGATTGATTAATGAATTCGATTGCATATGTATTTTTTAAAGGTTTTATTATAGTATTTATGTTTAAATTCGTATTGCTCATCAAATATTAACTATACTTTTACAAGATTTATGATGTAGGTACGTATTATTTAATTAACCAGATTTGAAAATGCATAATACACCCCACATTCACGCATCCCAAAACGTTTTGTACCCGCACAAGCGTATCTAATGTAAAAATCGTTCAATCATTGGAAAATAGTAAAAATCACATTTTCCTGGAAAAAATCCGTCCAATCAGCAGGTGCCATTATGTCAAGGTAATAGAGGAGGTAGGAGGTAAGGAGCTTGTATTTTAATAGCAAAGTTGTATAACTGGTTAGGGAATTTCCTTGTCTTGAAGAAAATG